ACTGAAACAGATTCTATGAAAACAAAAATTCTTATTTTTTTTCCTTTATGACCTGTGAATTTTACTGAAAACTTTCAGCCCATATTTATTAGATAGTAATTAATATATATTTTCAAACTTTTGAAAATGAAGATTTTTTCAAAGTTTCTGGGGTTTCTAAGTGCATCTTTAATGTTGTCCAAATTAAATACCAGTGATATCACCAGAGATTAAAAAAAAACCACCAAAAAACAAATTAAAGAAAGATTCAAATGATACCTGGCAGAAAAATAACAGAATATAATCTGCTCTTGTTTACAGCTAATCTGTCATAAAGATTTTTTCTATTTTAGACATTTTCTGCCTCAGATCAACAACAACACTTCAGCAGCCTGCAGTAATTACACCCTTTCATATGAAACCCCCTTTTCAGTGAAATCTTAGCTGCATTATTTACCACCCAGCTTCAACCTCCTCCCTTAAGAAATTTCCCCAAACTCCTAAGTGGCAACAATAATTATTTGAACTTGTAGATAAATTGTGAAAACTCATTAAGACCATTTCTGCCTGATTCAAAGATTTAAATCTTTAAAAATCCGCAACTTTTGCCCAAATCAGGTTTTCTGTGTAAAATCAGAAGCAGCTTTACGTTGGTAGGAGAGTGGGGCAGTAAAATTTGAAAATGTTTGTAAACCCACACGGGAAAAAAAAAAAAATCAGCTCCTCAGAGTGATTTTTAAAACTCCAACCCAATTTGAGAAAATCCTGGGGGAGGAAAAAGGCCACAGAGGGTTTTACAAGTGACAGCGCCCGGGTGCAAAACTGTTGCTCAGCCCTTCCCTGGCTCCAGAAATCCCACTGGATTTCTGTTGCAATGGCTGGTAACATTTAAATCAGCGGGGGGAGAACTGTTTCCCTTTGGGGGGGATTTTGCAGAGCTGCTTTTGCCCTGGCTCAGCTGGGGCAGTTTGGGTTTGGGGGGGCAGCCCTCTCCCCCCAGCTCCTGCCCAGGGGCGAGTGCAGCTCTGTTACCCCCCAGCAGATCAATGATTTAGTCTCTGCTGTTTGCATTCTCTAAATACCTTGCATCTGGAATGCTCCAGCGAGGGGAAGGAGGTTGACTGATAGCCTTTCTTGTTTCAGATCTAAATTGAAGACTTCCCTCTTTGTTTGGATTTTTTTCCCCTTTTTTTTTCCCCTTTTTTTTTTTTTTTTTTTTTTAGGTTGGTTTCCTTCGTTTCACTATTGCAAAGGATTATGTTACGTGGGGAAGGTACTGGGTAAACCAATAAAAGCAACAACAGAAGTGTTCTGGTCAAGATTAGAAATAGATCCGAAGCAGATAGTGGATCATTTATTTTAGCTGTGTTTGTGGGGGACACGTACCAGCGGAGGAAGGTGCATGCTCAAGTTTTCAGCCAGGGAAGGCTTGAAGTGCACTTTCTGAGCTGCAGGAAATTTATTTCCCAATTTCATTGCTCTCTTCTTTTCACCTGTGAATTTTGAGCTTGGATTACACCCTGGAAACCTCAGGAACACGCACATGGACGCAGCAGTGCTCCTACAAAGACTCCTCTGGCTAATTTGGTTTGGTACTTTCAGGAGAGCCAAGTAATGCAGCTGGAAGGATGGGAACCAAACTTTCCCTGGTGAGCAGCATCTACATGTTTTTAAGGCAAAGATCCCGGGATAACAGAATGGATCGGATACAGGAGGGAAGGCTAAAGGCTTTTTGCTTTAAATGACCTTTTCCCAGGATTTTTATAATTCATTTTAATGAGTTCCCTAGGAGGCTGCAGCACAGAGCACATACAAACGTCCCCGGGCATGGGCATCTATTTCTTAAGGTTTATAAAACTTCTGATTCCTGAGCGATACCAAATTTATTTACTAACAAATTCTCCGCGTGGCTCTTCCTCAGCCGGGAGAAAAAGAATAATAAACAAATATTTAGCTAATAAAAAAAATATTTAGCAATAGAACACAGCACCCCACATCTGTGGAGCACCGAGGGAACAACCAAATCTGCCAGCCGCGTTGG